AATGTACAATTAGAAAAAAAAAAGATTACCTTGCAAATGGAGTCAATTATATAGCATGCTGTGAATAATTTTTGGGTTATGAAGTATGGAAACCCAAAAAGAATAAAAGAGGGAGGCAAATCTAGTATATGATTTTGAGTTTATAAAGGGGATTTGGGCTAGAAATTAGTAATATTTTGGATGTTTGAATGATTTGTTTATAATAAATAAATAAATATAAGACCTAACAATTAAAAAGGGAATTGGTAAGAAAAAGAAAGTTTAGAAGGTGAAAAGGCTGAAAGGAAAAATCAATGGAGAGAAAGCCACATTAAAAACAGGGTAAGAAGATATATGAGAGAGGAGATAAGTGAAGCAATGACAAAGTTATTTTGAACAATAAAAAAATTCAACTATCTCATGGAGTATTGGTGTAAATTATGCAACTGTTATCGATATTTAGCAAAAGCAAGTTACACGTGCTTTTGTTGAATTTGTGGTTGGAATATATAAATCTCACGAGTTTAAGAGTGTGGTTTGCAGTGGAAGGGGCTTGTCTCCTTCCACTGCACCTGGGTTCGAGCCCTGGCGTGCACGCCTGTCACCTCCGCGGTGCCTTACATGCCTACTGGGTTTGCAGGGTGTTCAGTGGGCCGTGGGGATTAGTCGTGGTGTGCGCCAGCTGGCCTGGACACCCCACGTAAATAAATAAAAAAAAAGAGAGTGTGGTTCACATGCGACTCAAACAATATAATTTTATGGTTTAAACTCAACTAGAAGTTAAAATATTGAGACCACAAACTTAAATTAAAAGTTAAAATATTGAAAATAATATTTAAAATGGTTTGAATGTATAATTTTATTTGTTTTTCCAAGCACAAGATCATGTCATTGCTTAATATCTTGGTAGAGATAAGAGTCGAGTCTCAATTAGAGAGGATCAATTCAAATTTGATAATTTTTTTTAAATAACATTAAAATGATGTCATTTTAAAAAAAATTAAATAACTAATATGAGGTTTTATCATAGGTTCATCAGGACGCGGGTCAACATAACTTTTTAAATGAATTAATTTCTTATCCCCTTTTTTCTTTTGAAATGAATATTTGAAACATTCGGCCATCCATTACACATTTTTTTATTACTAATATTCAAAATTGTGATCCAATTCAAGATATTTTGCTTAACAGTATTATTAAAAAATTTGATACAATATTTTCAAGAATCAAGATATTGTGCTATTCCATCTCTAAAGAGATATATTATATATAAAAGTGAAAGCAAATTGAAGACAGTGGCCAATTGAAGAAGGAAGGATGCAATGAACTAGCAATTAAGGTAATTAATGTACACTACAAAGAATAGGTTTCCTCTTTTTGATTAAGAAGTCATCAAGTAAACAACAAATGTCTGTCTGAACAAGTGGCAGCCCTACAACACTTTCCATTTCTATTCCTGCTAACTACAAAGAAAAAAGAAAAAAAGGCATGTATCCAAAACCTGCAATAGGAGGGAAAGAAACAGAAAACGATGTGCATGCATATCCGTAAGGCAGAAGAGGGTGAAAGGCATACGGTATCTAACCTCATTGGTTAGATATCCTGCACACGACAACACTATATACTTTCTTCTTATGCATACAAGCCATATAATCTCCTCATGGACAGATTCTAACCTATTGCAACATGAGCTATCAAATACTGATAGAGGGAGTTGAGGATTTTGACCAGGCAGTAGCAAGAGATCATGCAGAAGCAGCTGAAAGTTTTGCCTGTGTTGATGATGATGATCATCAGCAGCAGCTAGAACAAATTTCAAGGAGGAAGAAGAAGAAGAAGAAGAAGGGCAGCAAGATGAATACTAGGAGGTTTAGTGATGAACAGGTTAGGTCACTAGAGTCGATGTTTGAGTCAGAGACAAAGCTGGAGCCAAGAAAGAAGATGCAACTAGCAAGAGAACTCGGGCTGCAGCCTCGTCAGGTTGCTATATGGTTTCAGAACAGAAGAGCTAGGTGGAAGACAAAGCAGATGGAGCAGAAGTACAAGACCTTGAAAGCTAGTTATGACAACTTAGCCTCAAGTTATGAGTCCTTGAAGAATGAAAAAGAGTCCTTACTTGTACAGGTACAGACCATTTTCTTTACTTCAGAATTTTTTTTTTTTCATATTCTCAATCACCATTTCACCTCTTTCTTTTCCTTCAACAGTTGCAGACGGTAAGTAATCAGCTTGGCAACCCTTGTAAGGGGCTGGAAAGATGTGACAGAGGCATTGATGCAGTTCTTCATGATGGAATCACCAACTGTGAGGTTGAAACGCAGCAAGGACTAGACAACAGTAGTATAATGGCCATCGTGTGTGATGATATGAGCATGGGAAATGGACATTCTGATGATCAAGGACAAGGATTTCTCTATACGGGTTCACCAGAATACAGTGATGGGACATTAGCATCAGTCTATGAGAAATGCTACAGCACTGATTCAGGGGCCCCGTTTGATCTATCATGGAACAATTCGTATTGTTTTAGTTTCAGGAGTTGATAAAAATATATTTAAGTAATTTCAAGACAATTAAAATTATTGGATATCTGTTTGGTGAATAGTTTCTTAGCCGCAGCACAAGTTGCCATATTGCACATTAATGTCAATCAAGCACGAATCCATTTGTTTCAACTCTTGCAATGATTTGTACCATTCAATTAAAGTAGCGTAGCTTCTTCATACACAACTTTGAAATACAAGTTTAGGAACTCGAGAGGCAATATGAAGCATGATGCTAAATATGTAATCTAGACATTTTACTATTTGTCAACACATTGATTGCTAGTAAAACCTGTGGATGGTAGATTATATTGTTTGGTTTAATCATAATTATTCAATCTGGTATTATCTAGCGGGTTAATATGAGAAACTACTAGTGATCTTGGGCTTGAAAAAAAAAAAAACCTGACAAATTCAATTGACACGAAAAATTTAATTATAATCTAATTAATTTATCAAACCTGATTTAAATTTAATAAAATCAACATTAATAAATTAAAAAAAAATCTAACATCTTTTAGTTCAGACCTGGCTGAATATGACAACTATGATTTTAACAAATGGTATGGGAATTCAAGGGGTGGTCATATCCATCAACTCAATAGTTTTAAATATTATTCCATTTAAAAGTAGAACAATTCCAGAATAAAAGACAGTTTGGCCGAGTGGTCTAAAAATATATATGATGAACTCAATATTTTTAAATATTATTCTAGTTATAATTAGAACAGTTCTGCAATAAAAGACAGTTTGGCCGAGTGGTCTAAGGCGCCAGATTTAGGCTCTGGTCCGAAAGGGCGTGGGTTCAAATCCCACAGCTGTCAATATTTGTTTTGCTTTTCCTTACATATTTTTAGCTCCTGCTATGTTTAATATGGTCCCTGTACTATTTTTTCTTCGTTTAGGTCCACCCTTGCATTCCTCTACGATGAAGGATATTCTTGGGTTAACTTACTCGTCAATGCAGATTAACTTCTTTTGTAAGAGCACTCATATATTGTGTCCAATAATTTCCCATTCAATTTAAAAATAATGTACGCATACCGTTTTATTTTTTACTTACCAACTGTCAAATGTCCAATGAAAAGGCTTAACAACCACCGAGCAAAGCTCTTTCAACCGTTCCACTTCCCTTCTTGCCAGTAGACTCTGCAAGAACGCAGCGTAAAGAGAGCAACATGGCATTCTCAAGTTCAATAGCAAGTTACCAACAGCCTATTTCGGCTGTTTTAACTCTTCAAACCAAACTTCCCTTCCATCTTTCCCTTTCAAGCCACTCAAATTCCCTCCACTCTGGCCCTGGAAGAAGGTGAAGGTGGACCCACTCACTGTGTCTCCAATGGGGTTTGGAACATGGGCCTGGTGCAACAAGCTTTTATGGGGGTACCAAGAATCAATGGACGCTTATCTTCAACACACTTTTAACTTGGCTGTTGATATGGTATCAATCGTTTTGATATGCTGCTGATTCTTGTGGAACTGGCAGGTGAAATGGCCAAAGTGAAAAGCTACTTGGCAAGTTCTTACAAGAATTTCCTGGTCGGTATGTTTTCTTGGTTCCATTTGTTCACTAAATCATTCAGGATTCTATTCAATTGCTATAATTTTGAGCCTTTTTGCTTAATATATGAGAAAATTCTATTCTTCTTGGTCCCATGATGAGTATTGAATGCAAGAATGATCTATGAAGATTGACGTATCTGCAGTTGATTTCAATCTTCATTGTTAGGATCACACTATCTGATAAAGAGAATAATCATAGAAACAATCACGCGTATACACTTACACTTTGTAAATCTTCGTGGTTCGGCTATGCTTACGTCTACAAGAGAGCAAAGAGGATAGATTTTTACCATATCGGAACAGTAAAAGTTTGGAGAACTCTCAACCCTTCTCCCAAGCACTTCCAATTTGGCTTCCTGGAGAAAAATGCCTGACATCCTTGAGCCTAAAATTCAAGCCATACTCAACAAATATCTATTGTTTTGTTGCCCTGTTGATCAACTTATGAATGACTCCATATCCACTTGATCTCTAGACTTTTCATAATTTGAATAGTGATATTGACAAGTCCTATATAACTATTTGTTGTGAAAATAAGATAAATGAAGTTAGAATAGAGATTCTTTATCCTGTGATGAGATTTGAATCCTGCTTTTCATGGTCAGAGATGGGGAAAGAATCTTTGTTTTGACTGTAACAAATTTTTTACTAATGGCTTTTCGTTCATGAATTCATAGGAAAGCAGACATGAAACGACAAATATTTTACTAATGGCTTTTCGTTCATGACTTCTATTTAGGCAAATTCTTCCTAGATTGGAGCCTTTATTGAACTTCTTGAGAGCAATTGCACAAAAAAGGAGTAATCCGTTTTAGTAATTGCTTCTTGTCTATGCCTAATGAAAATTTATGATTCCGGGGGATTGGAGAATTTGTGAGTAGATTTATGAATCTGTAACAGGATTAATTTGGAGAAAACGAGGTATCAATATAATAAAGAAACAATTGATCAGTTACCGCTTCATATGTTTGCTAGTTGAGTTCCTTTCTCTAATGCCATCCATTCCAAAGCAACAATAGCTGCCTTTTGTAAGGCTTTGTGTTAGCAGGTTGCAATAAACTGGTGCATCTGCAAAGGTGCTATTCCAATTCCTGGAGTTAAGACAGTAAAGCAAGCAGAGAAAAACTTGGCTGCCGTTTGTTGGCGCCTGAGTTCTGATGAGTTGCTTCAGCTAAAATACGCAGCAAGCAAGTCTCCTAAGAACTTGATCCAAAACATTTTCCAGACAAGGTATGTGTTGTATTCGACCTCAAAATTGTTGTTTTTATTTTTCCTTGTAAGTTCTATATCAAATAATGTGTAAAAAAACTAAAAAGAAAAAGAAAAAGCTCAATCCAAATGGACAGCTGGCTCAAACAACAGAACAGGTCTATACACCTTTGGCTCTGCCTAGCTTCTGGAAAAGATCCATGTTCTAGGGTTCAGGCTTGGGATTTCAGGCCGTAATCAACACAAAACATAATCCAAGCATATCCTTTCAGAAAAGTACATATATTGAACATTAAGACCAGTAGTCTCAATTTTCTTCTCTGGATTGGCTAGGTAAGTTTGCTTGCAGGCTTGCTGTCTTCATATCATTGAGCACTTCAAAAGAAAATTTGCCTCTCAGTTTCCCTAGGATTTGTTCACATGAATTTGACAACTTTAACAGTTAAAGCCTCTTATCCAACCCATTCTCCATCTGTCATTGGAGGCAGCATTATTATCTTTCGGGGAACAAGAAGAGGCATTTCTTGATATGTTTTCTTTCTTAATTACCATTTCCTGCTAACTGATACTCCTAGGGAATACTAGGATGAGTTCAGGCTCTCAAAGTAGAGAATTATGAATTCATGATCCTTGTAAAAACTATACAGGAACAGTTCCTGAAACATGAAACGGATAGCAGTTTATTAAAATCAGGTCCTGGAGTAAACAAATGCCAAGATTCTTCAACCTTGCTTGCTTTAGATGATTGACCACCTAATAAGAATTTAGCATTCATTTGTTTGTAAGATTTAAAACATAAGCATACACAACACATTCTATTCATGCATAAAGATCATATATTCATGGTTACAGAATTCTGGAGTGCAGATGCATTTCTTCTCCACTTCCCTAATCTTTTTTAAAAAAATCTGCAGAACCGGCAGAGCACAGTTCACTGAGTATGAAAGTTTAGAATTTATGCACCTTGCCGTTTATTAGTTTTTTGTTTATTAGGAGGTTCGTTAGCCCTCCCCTTTCTAAATCCCTCCTGTAAGCAGGATTTTGCAGCGAGTGACTTTACCAGCTAGCTAGCTATCACCCAACTTAAACTATTTGTTATGAACTTCTCTTTATTTAAGCACATAGCTTATTGTAAGTATAACGCAGTCCTTTCCATGGATAATGTTAGAGTTGAAGCAACTCAAAAAGACAAAGTGTATGAGAGGTCATTGTCGCTGTCATTCTATCAAATTCTAGATTCACCAATTGTAAGTGAACAATTTAGTGTCTACCCACATAAAATTTGTTCCAAAAGAATTTGTTACTCATTTAGTTCCTTATTGTAACTTAAAAATTAATATAAATATAAACTTGGAATGTAGAAAAAGAATATAAAAGATTGTTCCTAAACTAATAATAGAGCATTGGCAGGCTTATTCCTTTAACAAGCTTGCTGGGATTTCAATTTTTCCTCTCTTGTGCTTCTTTCTTTCCACTTCTTAATTGACTTGCTCCTACCATTCAGGTTCAGGTTGCACTCGAGAAATTTTGCATGCAACAAGGTTTTCTATCTGAACATTAATGTAAAGCATCATTAGACGAATCGAAGTGTACTTCCCGAAACACAGCATTGAAATACTGTGTAGATTCATGTGAATTATACTACCTTTTCTTGAGTGCTACGGTCGGTGTTGTTACTTGGAACAAACTCGGGATTGATTCTGAACTCCTCTACCATCCATTCAGTTTCAGCTCCATTAGGTGAGCTTCCATGATAGAAATTCAGAGTCTTTACATAACCAACAACTTTTCCCTCCCATGTGATCGGGCCAGCACCTTCAGGATCGATTGCGTAGTAGCCACCATCTAGTGCAATAATGTTATCATCCTTGCTTCTATTTGAAAAGAAAAACCACTCGTTGGGCACCCCGCCCTTAAAATCATCTAAATATTCATTACACAAGTTAGATTTTAAAGCATATAACTTAATCATGTAATGTAAATCATGTTGACTTCGTTCATGGTGAAGTTGCAACTAATTAATTAATGGTTGAAACATGCATGATAGCGTAATGGGAGACATTAGAAGATCAACTAGAAGTATAACAGATAAGCACTAGCAGTTTAGTGTTAAGACTAAAACATCCTAATTAGACTAATACTCCAGCATAATCTAATCTAATGTCCAGCTATGTGGCATGTAATTGGTTGTTTGGTGATTTCATATACATGGGTCATTGGAGATTCAAACCGCCAAACCATAAACATATCTTAAGATGGTGTCTGGTTATTGACTCGGGAGAAAAAGTTGAGACAGAGCAGACATGTTCATGCTCCCGTAATCGTGTTTTGTTTTGAAAGGGAATAAATTCACTTCAAAATAATTTTTTATCTGGTATCTATCTTACCCCTTCTTCAACTAAACATGTTTAGCTCTGTTTTGTATGCCTCACTTTTGACTTTTTTGATTTAAGATGTTCAAGCTTAATTAACTATAACCAAACATGCATAGTCAATCACGTGTCAAAAAAATTAAATTAAAAAACGATGATAAAAAGAAACCTTACCCAAGGGGAGTTTATCAGGGCTTGATGCATATACATCAGTGGTGGTAATAACATCAGG